AAGATAATTATCAGAATAATAACATGTACCATGATGCAATGCAAAATGTATTGTTTACAGCCTTCAAGTGGCATCAGAGCAGTGCATCATGGGTATAAGTACATGTACAGACATGGAATATACCAGGTACACTGTATTAGAGAGAGTGACATGTTGAAATGTCACAATTCATCATCGCTGTAATTGTCTTGTCCTCGTTATCAACACGTGTACCGACATGTGCGGTTGCGGTGCTGATATTTTAACAAGATTATACAGAATACAGTTGTACGATATATAATGTGTCGATAAGGAAAATACGTAGAGGTCAAAGACTGGCATAGATGATGAAAAGATCACATCGTCATTGAGAAAGCTTTTCAAGCTTTGAAAGGTGGCAATTTTGTGAGGTGGCAATCAGACGACATCACATCACAAAGAACGAGTGTATAACAAATGAAAAATTAATTCAACGAAGAATGAACTGTCTTTACACCCGTGGCCAGAAATTTTTTTTTTACTTGCAAATCTAGACTAAACGAATATACCGGTAATTTCCCATTAGGAACAATGATCAACAACAACAAAATCTTATATATGTTCTTTCAACAGTAGATAGCCTGACTAATTAAAATTTACTGTAACAACATTAAATCGTTTCCACCTTCATTCTGACTTCATTATATACTACAAAACCATTTATTTTCACTGACATTTAATTTTAATATTTCACTGTGTTTAACCTTTACAAACTTGACAGGAAAACAATGAGTTCTATTGTTATTTGACATGTTCACAGGTATTGACTTTAGCGGATTTTACTTTTACGGCAAAAATAGTAAAATTAAGAACCTAGTGTATTTACACTAGTTATTGTAATACATTTTGGATCCTTACTCATTCATTCATTTTCTAATGTTGCTGAAGTTAGCATCATTATACAGGATTTGTAATACATTTTGGATTCGTATTCATTCATTCATTTTCTAATGTTGCTGAAGTTAGCATCATTATACAGGATTTGTAATACATTTTGGATTCGTATTCATTCATTCATTTTTTAATGTTGCTGAAGTTAGCATCATTATACAGGATTTGTAATACATTTTGGATTCGTATTCATTCATTCAAGTTATTGCTTGAATACTTTGTTATGTTATAAGTAAGAATATTTTTTTTTATTCATATTCATACAAAATCTAAATTGCGGTGAGAGAGTAATAAAAAAAAGTACCAATAATCTGCGATCAAATCTTATAAACCTGAAATCTAATTTTACTGAATTCCTCATCTCTTAGCGATATTTTATAAAACGACATTACAGTCGTCCTTGCAAGTGTGTCAGATATTAGTGTTCAGTCTAACCACATCACATCAGTCAACTCGTACTTTAATAAAAATTATCAAATCACGGTCTATTTTTATCTGATTATACATAATATAGTCACTCATTTCTGAAAAGGAAGAATTGTTACAGTTGAACGAGACTATGATAGTATCTATATTATACAACCCTCCCCATGTCAGGGATGGTATAAATGATAAGCATTGCCAATTAAGATGTGCTTGATTACATCATTGTTAAAATAGACACTATGGCAACCGCATCTGAAATCAGGATAAGGATCCTGATGGAGGCAATTACCAGCAGACAGTTCTTCTCAAGCGAGTCCTGATCTGCTCCATGGAGACCAGATATGATTCAGTTTCCATGGAGACCAGATATGATTCAGTTATTTGGTTATTGTATTCTTTTCAAGTCGCTGAAAAGATGATAAAAACTACCAATTTAACAGAATCAAAGAAAAATTAAATTTTGGGGCTAAAAAAGAGAGGTAGTAAATGACTGGATCATTTCTGTATATTTTTTAATCCATGCAAAATGAACATTGGAAACACCGAAAAATTAAACATATGATATTTCATTTTAGCTCCAAAAAAAAAAAATAAACAAATTTGTAGAACATGAGCCTTTACATTTTTTTTTAACTAAAATTATTTTTTTAACTAAAATATAGTAAAATCTTTTCTTTGTGATTGTTTTTTTATTACTATGCTTACTGGGCACAGATTTTTTTCATTGAATAATAGAAACCTCAGAAAAAATATTTTGATTCAATATACAGCACTTGCTTTAATTTCACAAGAGAAAAATATTTTTTTTTCAATAAAGTTTTTTGTCCCAGGCGACAGTTGAGTGTCACTGCTGTCTCTCCTGACTTTTTTTGTATGTGCAAATTGCAAGTGCTAGTGACGACACATAGTGCATTTTTGTCACAGAAGTCATATTCATGTTTGGGAATACATGACAGGGCTGTGTGGCCATCTCTCTATCAATTTAATGCGCTATCCTGGCGTCAACCAGGCTCGGTTGAACACAAGCACCTGCAGACCTTAACCAAGGTTCCCCCAAAGTCACATTCATTAGTGAATGAATCTCAGCCAGTGGAATTGGCCTTCTGTGGCACACTCACCCAAGGAATTGTGATTCTTTGAAATGGCAACTTTTGTGAAATCTCCACAAATATATTATCAAATACCGAAAATTGATAGTGACAAAAATTAATTTTGCTTCAGAATTATTTTTCTACATGATCAAATAATTGACTACTACAGCTCTGTATCCGATGAGAATGGCAAAACCTGCGAGTACGTACCTTCTGTGAATGATGATAAATTGTTTTTAATTTTACTAAATAACTCATCCTCTGTAATGCCTGGGTCTTGTAGTACCGATGCTTCTACATGCACTATCATATGTTTTTCCTAGGGACAGAATACATTATAATTGATTGGTCAAAAGTAGTCATGTGACATGTTATGCAATGCATTATGGGATGTCTCTACATAAACTACAGCACTGTTTGTTTTTGTAAGGAAAGAATGCATTGTTTTATTTTATATAGATTACTGGTCTGATATAAAATAAGTAATGCTTCTGATTGGTCAAAAGTAGTCATGTGACATTTTTGTATATTAACTATCATTAGAATTCTTTTCTAAATTCATGAACATGAACACACTGGCACTATATATATATTCCTGATTATTTTGGAATTTATTTTCAATCAATTTATGTCAAGTACTAACATGTTTATACAAGTAATTTAATAACCATGTTGGAAAATATTTATACAAGTCCTTATTCAGAAATATAATGATTTGACAAGGTTGCTATGGCAACATAAACAAACAATATGTATCATGTTTAGATGTTGGACAGCAGTGGCAAAAATGTACATGTCAATTCTTGTTACACGTCTATCACTGCCACACCTACTCCCAAAGCTGCTGCCCCCTATAAATAATCAATCACTCCATCCTTACCTGAGATAACCATGTTGCCAACTCTTTAAAATGTTCTAGAACCTGTTCATCTGATATTTTTTTAATTATGAGAACTGACAAAGGAGGTTCCTGCCAGGTCAATTTTTGACTAGAAGGGTCTGTCACATGCCTGGTAAATATATTGCGAAAAAACACAAGAATAGAGTTGTTGAACAGTAATTAAACAACAATCGACATTTAAAACACAAGTTTCAAGTATCTATTACTACAACAAGTCATACACATTGTGATAGAGTTAACATCAAAGTGAAGGTCTTTTGAAAGAGAATTAAAGCGCCACCAAGTGGTGTTATAGCGCCCCCACACATCCATTTTGAAAAATATTTTGTTTCTAAAGTTAGCTGAAGGAACATTTCTTTACTTCCTTCAGAACCATGTAATGTCAAGATCGGTTATCAAATATGCAAGTCAAAATAAAGTTTTAGTCTTCACTAAAAGCTTGGTGCAATATACAGTACTTACATTATCTGTGACTTGGGTACTTTCACCATGTGGGCCTTTGGTCCGAATGTCGCAACTGGGCTTCGAGCATAAATGGATCGCATACGTCTAGAAAAAAAAATTAAATTACACAAAGTACATAATAACCAGAATCAAAATATTTTCCAAGGGCATATTTTTCAAAAAGTATTGTCAGATATTTTTGGCTTTTTAAAATATACCATTATTTAAATGACTCATTTAGCAGTAATACCTCAAGGTTTGGTACCATTGATTTGACTGAATAGAAAGAATTCTGATTGAGTCTCTATAGAAAGTATGCACAAACATAACTTTACTATAGAATATTTTTTAGAAATCTTATAAAAATTCTTGTGCCATTAAGTAGAGAGCAAAACCATACCACATAATATCCCCGATACTCGCCACCACCCCCCACCCCCACCCCGAGTGATCAATAATTTTATTTTATTTATTTACTGAGTGTTTTGAGGACAAAATTTCATGAAAGTCTCTGTGACCTGTACTATAGTATTTTGAGATATGTTCTGACTCGTAGAATTCATGAAAATTCATCACTTGTGATGTTAAAACGACAGATAAAGAGATCAATGCCAGTTTGTGACGCAGCACACAAATGCATGGATGGCTGTATATAATTATCAGAGAATGGTTCAACATGAAAATGTACTTTCTTTAACAATTTTTTTTTTTTTGAATGGAAAAATGTGTTTTCATTTTGTGATAAAATACAACACAATATCACATCAAATTAGCCTTGGTCTAGCCTCAATCTAACGTCAGTCCAGCCTCAGTCTAGTCTGACTAGCTAACAAATCATCCATTACATCAACCTTTTGATATGCCAACTTCACAACAACAAAAAATAAATAAATTGTCAAAGTCAAAATTCTAGTTGGTTCAAAATGAACAAACAAATTACATAAAAATACTTAAAAAATGTAAAAACTGTCAAAATTTGATATCATCTGATTTAAAATCCCCAGCATCAAGAATATTGTAGCCCAGTAAAATATAGACCACACCAAAAATATTGATTCATACAATTTGCTGGTCAAAATGTTATTTTAGACACAAAGCACTTGCAGATATCACAATTGAAGATTTGTTTGTGACGTAGGTTTTCAGCGGTAAAAATAGAACCACTATTACTGTACAATTATACCATACTCAAATATGCGAAAGTTTAAAGACCCACACCTTACCCCTGATTAATTTTTTGTTCAATGTTACGCCCCCACTTTATTATACTCCATTGTGTTCAATATGGGCCTTATACAAATTACCCATACAACGTGTGTAGAAAAATATTGCAAAATAGTTCTAATAAATTGCCCTGTAAGGTGCATAGAACTGTTCATTCCTAACAAGTGTTACCGTAAAACATCGCCAGCTGAAAGTCCCCAAAGATGGCCAAAATGAACAGAGATAAATAACGTCAGCATGGTGATATCTTAACAATTTAAAACAAGCAGCCTCCCGGCTGAGATAGCTCTGCTGTTAGCAATGCACATTTCAGTTAGAGAACTGAAGATATCATTAGAAAATGAACAATATGTATAGTATAAAAGCAATTGGACTTGCGGTTTTCAACAAGAAGTCAAAAATAACACTTTTTTCCCAAAGATATTCATCAAAATTAGGCATTAAAGATATCATCATGAAATGAACAAATCTGAGAGAGGTCAACTTGAGGTACCTATATGTATAATATCAAAGCACACAGACTTGCTGTTTTCAACAAGAAGTCAAAAATATCACTTTTTCCCCAAAATGACAAAAATATTCATCAAAATTAGAGAATTAAAGATATCATCATGAAATGAACAAATCTGAGAGAGGTCAACTTGAGGAACCTATATGTATAATATCAAAGCAATCAGACTTGCTGATTTCAACAAGAAGTCAAAAATATCACTTTTTACCAAAAATGACAAAATTATTTACCAAAATTAGAGAATTAAAGATATCATCACGAAATGAACAAATCTGCCGTAGGTACATATACACCAAGTATCAAAGCAATAAGAATTGTAGTTTTCAAGAAGAAGTTGAAAAAGTAAAAAGTTGACACGAACGACGACGAACAATCACTCTTATGAGCTCGGCTCGACGAGGTCAACAGCGGAGCTAAAAAGACAAGTGGGATGCATTTCTTTGGTCCATTATTGACTGAAAACACCACAAAATAATTATGCTGAATGAATGAATTACTACATGTAGGAACTTATTTTATTTTAGCTAAAGTAAGGTCTTTTTCTTGTTCAAAATGTAACAAATTTGATGATTCAGACAAGAGTCATCAAATTTTTTTTTTTTTTATCAAGTACCATAGACAGGTGGTCCTTGTATAGAAGTGGTCACTAACACGGGTTTGACTGTGCATTGTGTGAGAGCTATATACTACTGTGGAATACTTTATTTTCGCTGAAAAGGCTTTTTCTGGCGTTTTGTATGGAATTTATTTTCACTGACTTTTGACGAGTTTAATGTAAAATATAGAAAAAAAAGTATATTCGCTGGATTTTATTTTCACGAAATCATCCATTCAGCAAAAACAGCAAAAATAAATTCCAAGCGAAAATAAAGTATTCTACAGTATGTTAGTTATGCAATAACTGATGATGGTAACAACACTTGTACAGAAAGAAACAACATCCACAACTCACCTCTCCGAATAAGAAATTCAAGTATAGCGGTTTACCCACTTTATAATCTTAGATGTAAGTAGAACTTTCAGCAGACACCCAAATTCAAGTGTTCTAAGGACCATGACCATCTTATCTATGGCTATCTAAGCCAGGTCATGACACTGGTGATAGTAATAAACAACATAATAAATGGGCTGTTACAGTTTGTATTTGTACTCCCTTGATGACCTTCAGCTTTCACTCGCTGTTTTGTCTATGATTCTAGTTTGTATTGGCAATGGTTTTATCCTGTCAGCCGCTCATCATACTACGGTAGAACCCCAATATCCAGTTTATCTTGTCACAATGCTGTCAAACGTCCTAATGACATTTAATTTCCATCCCTGACACATCAACACTGGGGTGTGTAGATAAATATTACCCAACACACAAATAAAGAATCAATTACAGCTTGTTATTTAATCAAGGATGGCCCAAGGTTAAGTTTATCACTTTCAACAACAAGTGCTGAAACATTTTTATTTGGAAATTGATGCAAAGCAATAATACAATATATTTATATAATCTGCTGTGACACTGAAAATGTCTCTTGTCCCAGCAACACAATGCGTCAGTGAATTTCATGAAATATTCTCTTAAAATATTATTTCGAAATTTAAACTGTTTACAGTATTTTGTGTTTACTCTGGTTTTGGTTTATTGTGAACATTTTAAATTATTCGCGATTTGGGAATTACATGGAATTTGTGATAAAAATATTTCGGGAAAAACATTGACACTCTGGTGTGATCCCAGAGAAATTTTCACTGACTCACAAAATTTGTGAAATTTCCGAGCTATGAAAATTAATAAGTGGTTCATAGTACTCCATATTTATAATACATCTTACTAGAAAGTATGTGTTTTGTGTCTTTATTAAACACTGCAATGATCAATTTGCATATGTGGGACCCCCCCCCCCACACATGTCCTTTTCTATTCTATTCTAGCAAAATAACTAGACGTAGAGACAAACAAAATAAAATAACCTTCACTTTTACATTAGAATTTATTGTCAACTGAACAATAAGTCTATTGGTAAATCCAGATGTGTTGTTTATACCTGGAACACAGGTCAAGGAGCAAGTTGATGGCCTTCTGTTTGGGCCAATGACCCGCCTTGCAATGTTTTGACTGAGTTAGTTACTACTGTAAATTTTATCAGATTTATTTCTCTGATTATTGTTCAAAATATTAAAAAAGAAATGTTTTACAGCAATTCCAGGCACTGATTTGACGCTGAAGTAGTGCTAGATGTTGATAACTTACTACAATAGGTTACACACTTTGTTTTCAAATTTACAGAAGTTGTTACAAATAATGCAGACAGCATGTCTGCAATTTGAAGCGCACCGGAAGAAAGCTCCGCCCATAAAAGTGGCGGTACATTAGTTTTGAATTTCTCCTCCAATAAACGATCGAGGCTCTCAACTTAGTTTCGTACTTCAATTTGCGTCACATGTTATTTCAGTGAGAGGGGCGCATAAAGTGGTGGCCATGTAAAGAACGCTATTTTACGAAACCAGCTGACCGACTGATCATGACAGAATTATTGATCAAAGTGCATTATTCCTATTATGCCATGGAAATGCCCGTTATTCAATTATTAGTTCTCGACGATGAGAACCAAAAGGTTGATGTGCCACCAAGCTTATCACTGGCAACACACGATCACACGTCCGGGGAGGGTTGCCGCCGTACACAAGTAGTTTTTGTTGAATTTCCTGTCCGTAAATGCGTGGTCGCAATGTTTTATAATATTTGACAGTTTATAACGTTGTCAGTTTCCTGGCAGGATACTCTCGGTGGTAACAAACCGTTTGACGATATTATAAGATGTCTGCTTTGAAACACCATTTCGATCTCCAATCTCAACAAATGACAGTCCACGAAAATACAAATCGACAACTCTTGTTCTCACTTCAACGGGTTGTTTGACTCCTTGCTTCTCCATCGTGGTGCTTAAACAACTTGGACAAATGCCGATTTGTAGACACGCAATCGACACGATGACTGACCAAAAGTGAATGAAAGACAGACGCGCCTCAAAGTCTAGATGTACCTGACTTTGGGCAATATCTGTCAATCATTCCTCTGATTTGTAGTCGATGTTTATGTTTCTAGTTACAACTTCTGTGAATTTAAAAACAAAGTGTGTAACCTATTGTAGTAAGTTATCAACATCTAGCACTACTTCAGCGTCAAATCAGTGCCTGGAATTGCTGTAAGCTGTGAACATTTTTCACTGATACAAGCCCCGTCTCTGTGAGCACAGTTACTAAAAAAGAGTAACCAGGCTGTGAGTGACGGTGATACAAGGCATATTCCGAAAATAACGTGCACCACATTCCAATAAAACCAAACCAACAAAAACAGGAAGAACACACTTTAAATTAT